TGGAATAAATTTTACCTTTGTGACTGCACATCAAACACAGAAACTAGCTCAGGCTGGCTAGGATCTAGCTATGCAACTACATTGTTCTTTAAGTCAGAGGAGGAAAGCTGAAGAATCTAGACCCTTCTTGGTTTATAATCAAGTGCCCTTGTTCCCGCTGTTGAGTACTAGTTAAATAAAGCCATTTTGCATATTCGTTAGCCAATCCAGGGATCCTAAGCAATCTCAAATCTCTAGAGCAGTGGAGATTCCTGATGGATTGACTATCACCTTCCCAATCAATCATTTCCCCACATTTCAATCTCATTGACGCTTGAATCAGTCTCTCGGATTCGATCAGGGTGGGTGGATTTAGTCATCAAAAGGGGAACACTTTGCAGAAGCACCTTTTTATAAGTAAATATTTAAGAAAAAATCTTGAGGAACAAAAAACATCATTAGTAGCACCTGGCAATAGGATGGGTGCCGATATACTCCAAAGCCATTCAGGGAATTTGGGACCCCCTGTGATGAACAATGTTCCTTGACCTTGTATTAATTCCTGCATTGGCAAGTCAAAGGGCCAGTTCTATCACATATATTTCTGTAGCCCACAGACTTGTTTGGGCTTATGAACGTTTTATTATCTGACAATCCAAGGATGGCGCTGCAAGCATGGCTTACATTGCTACTAGCTGATTTCATGGACGGTTTAGCTCTGCTTTCTTTAAGGTGCCATTTATGGACAACTTACTTTTAATGTCTACCTTTCAGGATGTGTACACTTTTTTTCCCTTCCCCTTGGGGAACTTATTAAAAAAAAAAAAAGCATTCATTCTACCTTTCCATGCATTCCTTTTACAACGGTGCTATTATCTACTTAACAATGTTATTTACAAGTATAGTGCAATACATATCTTTGAAAGGTGCACCGGTCTGCGTGCAGGGTTCTGTGACTTAGGAAAAAAATCATTTCATGTTTGTCCTGTTGTTACCACTTTGCCTCAATAATGCTTGAAACGTCATTGATTTGAATATGGGTTACAAGGTTTATTACAGCTTTTGGTGTGCCCAGCTCTTGACCACGTGGCTGCGCTGGCCTTTGCAAACTGGAACAATTGAAGCCTGTTGCTTTGCAGCGTGCGGTAAGGTAAAATGGCTACAGACCATTGCATTTAAAAGTTACTAAAGAGATTCTTCTCACGCTGGGTAGATAGAACGCTGTTGAAGTTAAGCCACATATAATATACTGAATTCCTTTCTACAAAGACATGTGCCTAAGAAAATAGCTGAAATTAATTTAGTCAATAGCTCAGTGTTCATTACTCTCAAATGTCCATGATGCCTATAATACGGCCAAAGGAGAGAGAGAGTGTAAGAATGTGACTTAATATTATTCTCCAGATTTATTGTAGATAAAACTATTTAAACATAGATTTTTTTTTTCTTAAACTACACTGCATTTGTGTGTCTTGCCATCCAGGGCTTCTATTTACAAAAACACGCCCATCCCTGAATTACAAAACAGGAAACAAAAAGAAGGAAGCTAAAGAAAAAAATTCCATAGACTAACATTTCAGACAGAATCTGGAATTGGGTCTCCCCTCCCCTTTGTTTTAGTTTTTATTCGGATTTACAAGAGCAGGTTGTGAAGCGATGGAACTTTTAACAAAGACAAATACAGCCTGATATTTTGAATTCTGTCAGATGTTTTTAATTCCTGAAGGCAGAAGAATGTCAGAGCCCTTCACGGCCCAGATTCTGTTGGTAAGCGGTTCTTCGATTTCCCATTCGAAATAGGAACCATAAAGTAAAGACCTAAAATTTGAAGAAAAGGAGCTCAATTTCTCTCTTCAAATCCACACTTGAAAGGACAGTGCCGGCATGGGGCTTCTGTCTTCTTGGTTTAAATGTATTTTCCTGCAGAGAACCACAGTGAACTCAAGTTGATAATACAGCAGACCCCTTCATTTCAGAGCAAAGAGGTCTCACTCCTTGAACCACGTAACACTGCCAGAGGCAGAGATGGTAACTTACATATGCTACCTGCAGTAGGGTAAGGAACTTCCACACAGTTGAAAATTCACTCAAGGGTGGAAGTTTAAGCCTGTTACCCGACAAAGCAACTTATTTATACTGTGTTCTAACCTACGTTCAGTCCTGGTTTGGTTTTGTTATTAATTCAATCCTCTGGTTCTGGCTGGCAAAAACAGTGACAGAAATGCACATTATAACCAAACGCAAATATTAACTCATTCAGTTCTGTAGAAAATATTTTGCAATTTCACTTTCCCTTCATGTGCAGAGCAGAAACCATAATCACTCTTCTGCAGCTCTATAACCTGTTACATTTACACAGTAATTGAATGACAAGGATATTACACACACAGGGAGGCTAGGAAACGATGCACAGGGTGAAGGAGGGAAGGTGTTCAGTAAACCAGATATTGTCAGGAAGATTTCTTTTGAAGTACGCAGTATGTAATATTTGCCAGCAGGAAGGTTTATTTTCTGTCATGGGTGTGAGCACTTGGGATGTTGGTATCAGTCACACACATACAAAAAATGGTTGGGATGGATGAAGTTTGTCAATTTTTAACTATGAAAACTACATTACAGTGTGCGTTTTTTATATACAAATTCTTACTTTTTTTTTTTTTTTTAAGTTTGCCTCTAGTATCTTCTTTTCTAACCTAGTATATAGAGGATTTTAGTTTTTGTAAAAATACCTATTACATGCTCTGTCTGTCATAGTAAAATTGGTTTAAAATGCCTTCTCTTTGATTGTGATCGGAAACTGGCCTCTTCAGAACTAAAACTACAGTACTTGATTGTATTGACACAACATCAATAAAACTTATTGTATAAAAGATCATCTCAGCTGTGCCTTTGTCCTATTATGATTTATTTGTATTGCAGGAGCACCTACACATAGTAAGAGATAACCCCTGCTCCACGAGCTTACAGTCTGAACAGGCGAAGGAAAGATTAATATCCCATTGTTCTGGGGACAGGAGGCACGGGAATAGTCCATGGCTCACCCAAGGAGTCTATGTCAGAGCTCACATTTGAACCCACACCTTCTGTAGCAGCAGCCAGCACCCAAACAATAAGACGAAGTTTCTATATTCAAAGTACCACTTCTGAAATACCCTTGTATAAGTCTGGCCATAATCATAGGTCTCAGCTCATCCTGCCTGCCCTATGAGCTCTCCTTTGTAATATGCACAGCCTTAGATACGGAAGTCCTCTCTTCTCTTCATGCAACAGGAACGCATCCTGGTCACTGGCAGTGAAACAGGCTTCCCTGCAACACCCCACCAGTGTGCACCCAGAGGAAGGGGTACTTAAGCCTTCATAGTCCATTCAGTCCATGGTTTATCTGCTAAGACTGCCATTGAGTGGACCAATTGTGGCAAAGGTGAGGGTTGATTTTGGTAATGTAAGTAACTGTCCCCTAGGAACTGGAATGAGATCGCACAACTGGCATAGGCTGAGGGTATCAGCTTTCATTCAAAGTCTGTCACCTCCCGGTTGCCCACTCAACTCAGACTTAGCTTGAGAGAATGGTAATAGGAGATGGCATCTATCCTGCTCCCTGATCAACATAGGAAAAACTTATTCCACATTGCCTCACAGCCACAGTCCAGAAGTTCCTTAAAGGAAGATGGTGAAATTTGGGGCCTTCCAAATATTGCAACATTTTTTCCTCTTCTACCTGGCAATTATTACGTTGAGGAATTTAAGGCACAGGAGTGCATGCTGGAGTTTCCTTTCCTGGAAAAATGGGGTTTTGCTAGAAATTAAAAATGAACCCAAAGCCAGGAGCTCACCCATCACTCCCAAGCTCCTTCTCAAGGAGAGAGCAGCATGCGTGCCTTCTATGATGGGGAAGGAGACAGGAATTTTAAGTAACAATGCAGAGTTTCTATTCAAGCTTCCAAAACTATGAAGAATACCAGATTGTGCTAGCTGGTTATGACTACCCTTGCCACCATAACAAATTCCAATATGTATACGGACTATGCTACCCATTTACCTTCTTCCCCGTAAAAAGAAGCCGGTGAGAATGCAGCTCAGTTCTTTGGGCTTTAATCATCATTGATTCCATCAGTTTGTTTTCTTTGGGGGTGGGGGTGAGGAGGAAGGTTGTTTTGTTTTAAGCAATATCATTTTGAAAGCTAGTCAATTAAAAAAAATCACTAGTTTTAGATACCACCCTGCCTCTGTGTCCCCTGACTGCTATTTTCTTGTGCTTTTATAATCACATTCCCTTATTTTAAAAACTCTCTCTCTCCACAGACAAAAGGGACTGGCTGACTATGCTGGGGAAATGTTGAAACTGACTAATACATGAAGTGCTGCCAGAGGCACAAAGGAAACAAAGAGGGAAAAAATATTTATTAAGTGATCTCTTTCAAGTCTCCTAATTGGGAATGTTAACTATAGCCAGTGAAACATTTCCAGGCAGAAATGTGAATTTTAAGTTGACATGTCCCTTTAAACCCTGTTACATTTAGGGGTGTAAGGCAAAGTGTCATCTTGGTGCATCTTATTAATATTCCCAGGACACTTTTGGTGCGCTAGACATAATAAATAATCTGAACTGATTCTAGCAGCAAGGCTCCAGCAGTTGACTCCTTTCCACCCATTGCTCTTCTTTATTGCAAGTATTTTCTACAAGCAAGACTCGAGTGAAAACTCCAGCACTGAAATACTTTGGGGCCATGCAATTGCCATGCAGTGCATTAAACTCCCTCTACTGTTAACAGGCATTACCCACTTTTACCACGACAGTCTCGCCATTCACTGCTTGTAAACAAAAGCAGCCATTGTGAGAACAGTTTTTACAGCAGATTTCAAGAATTAAACTTACTGCAAATGAAGCAGGAGGCCCGGCTCCTCACAAGATGCCATTAATTGACCTGGAAATGCTTTCATCCTGCTTTCCGGAGAAACATTTTTAAGAAACCATAACGAAGCAGTTTCAGGCTGAGTCTTGAAAGAAGAGAAGTGGGGGGGCGGAAATAGCCTAAAGCCTTTCCTATGATTCCCCTTCCAATTTAGCCTCACAAGAGGCTGGCTGCCCCCATACAGGGACATATATAGGTAGAGGGTAAAACTATAAATAGAATTACATACAATAAAGCCCAAAGATGGCATTTAAAGTGCAGTTATGGTCTAGTAAAATTATCACCACATTAGTACACTTATGACTAGTTCTGCACCCAGTGCACCCTCCCCCACCAGTGCTGCTCAGTAAAGGCCAAAATCAGTCATGAAGGGAGATGGAAGCAGGGTTAATTTCAGAACTGTTATAACTGCTGAGGCAAGATCTGGGAAAACGCAATCAGGATCATTCCCAAACCCCACACTGTGATGGCGTCAGCACAACCACCTTTGCACTTAACACAGGGTAAAGGCTAAATGCCCTCTGCACTGGAATAACTAGCAGTGCTAAACTTCAAAGCTGTCTGCAATCTTATAACAAAGAACCCCAAGGAGAGGGCACAGATCTTTCTGCTCCTGCCAACAGACCCAATGGTCTCCTGCAGCTACCCAGCTGGAGCAGGGCTTGGCAAATTACTACAGGTGACACCCACAGGGCACTTTCCAGCCAAGTATACTGAGGCTTGCAGGAGGTGACTGCAGAGGAAATTTGATGCTGGGGAAGCCTCGAAAGCTCCAATAAGAATATGGGGAGCCCAGACAGGAAGGTGATGGGGAAGTAATGGAGCCAGATTTATAAATGGTGCCTTAACACAACAGGAAAACCAAGTCCCTTACTCAGCCCATCAACCATAGCTCCAGTGATGTTACTGACTCATCATCACAGGCATTACACAAGTCTGAGCGCAGTTTCTTTGCTGGGAGCCTGTATGGTCACTGGTGTTTGGACATATGGGAAATGCTGCCAGGGGACTAGCATCTGCTCTGGCTGAAGCGCGCTGAGCTTTTTACCAGTAGATGAATTGTGCTCTGCATGAACGTCAAAGGTCACAGGAAAAAGACCGGGATCCGGTTGGCAGAGCTGTGAAAGAGGACACAGAAGATGACCAAGGCCTTCTGCAGCTGAGCTGTCATTTTCACTGCAACACTTCAAGAGCCTGCCACTGATCCACAAGGTTTCCACACAGGAAACTCCCATCCCTACACACCACCACTGGAGAACAGGCTCCAGTCCAATTAGTCTGCGCAAATGTGCATAAAGATTTTCCCTACTGGGTTCCAAGTTCAGCTACAGTTGAATGGCCAGGAATTTCTACCCCGGCTAGGAAAGGCTCCATACCAGAAGCACGTATAAAGAACATCTCTTTGTCCAAGTCGTCCAAACTTTAGTTTGCTTCCTAAAGAGGCTGAGGTCAAATAAGGCTCCAAGCTAATGACTGCTTTATGCAACACAACTCCTTTACTTTGATAATTAGCCACCGTTCCTGTATTTTCCTTCAATGATCCTAAGTGATTGGATTACTTTTAAGAAAAACACATTTCAATCCTAGCTTAGGAAAAGCTAGACTTTATAAACAGCTAACCTGTGCAAGCTCCACAACTTCTTTCCATTCAAAAGAAAAACAAGCTCAGTTTAAACAGAAAATTTGTTTTTAAATGTCTTCCTTGAAAAGTCTCTTGAAGATATAATGTTTTACTTCTCAGATCTGCAGCACAGTCTATAAATACAGTGGACCCATAATTCCACATATTTATAGGACAAATAGTCATGTGTATACACGGAAAATCCATTAAAGCTTCACGCAATAGACTGGTACTCTAGGGAAGCAAAGTACAGGAAAGGTGAGGAATAACCCAATTACAACCAGACTGTTCATATGTACACACAATAACTTTCTTCTGACATCAGCAGGAAATAAGCCCCCTATTAGTAATGTGTTCACTTCCCAGTTTTAGTAAAATCTTTGGAATATTCGGATTTATACCCATTTCCATACGATAGCTGCCTGCAAACACGATGGTATTTATTTCTTTGTTTTCTGTAATTACTATAGACATTTCAAAACACATTATTTCCACAACTCAGCTTGCATACAGACTCAGATTATTTCCTCTCTGCCTGCTTGACTGGGCACGTTTTTAAACATCCCACTGCAGAACACTGTTTTCTAATACATCTTCTACCATTTGCACGGTCTCCTAGTACATGAGCCCTTTCTTAACAGAAGTGAATTCTCAACTGAAACCGTCCTCCTGTCCACTTTTAGACAATCCCAAGCAGGTGTAGAGGTTGAAAGCAATTAAAGTTGCATCCTGTTCCCGCTGAAGTCAATCGGATTTTTGTCACTGACTTCAATGGGACCAAGATTTGGGCCTAAGGTACCACTAGGTTTTACTACATCTCTTCCCACTGGTTTACTAGTGACCTTGCCACATGCATTGGACACCAGGTGTGCAGAATGGGGTGCAAGGATAGCACAGCACAGATTAGGCACTGGGAGGAGAGAGAGTAACCAGAGCAAGAGCAGCATTCCGGAAGGTCGCAGTCTGGTGCATAAGGCAATGGAAAGTTTAAGGAGTCAGGCACAGGTGTAACGCAGAGAGTAAAGACGACAAAAGAATTGCAATATGGGTATGGCGCAACCGAAGTGCTTCCTGAAGGTTAGGCTGTGAACATCTGAATGGAAGTCTGTGGAATCTGGAAACAGATGACAGGAAGCTGGTTCCTGGATTTAGACCCCACTTGAAGCTTGGACAAGTTGTATGACAGAATGAGACACTGACAGGAGGAGAGGCCTTGGTAAGAAGCAGAAATCTCATCAGAACCAGATACTGCCTCTGTGCTTTGGTGGGACAACAGATTCCATCGTCCAAAGCTCTCTGTGCAAGCACCCTCCAGATCAATTGTAACAGAAAAACAAGGTCCAAGTCTCACTTCTACCATGCGACACATGACAGCAAGTGCCATTCTGGGCTTGGACAGGTTACAGATCATTAAAGACAAGGTGGACCCATTTGCTATGGATCTGATCAATGAGGCAGAGGTAGCCACTTGCTTTAACGTTGGCACAAGACACCACTTCTGTGGCTCAAAGTCGTTGGCAGTAGAGTTCGTGCAAGCTATTTGCCAGCATCTCTGTCTCTTGAAAAGCTTCGCAGCTCTGCTCCCAGCATGGGGGTACCTGCTCCTCCCCATAATAAGCTCCTGCAATGGCTCCAGCCATGGTAGCTATGGTATCTGTGTCTCCACCCAGAGAGATACAGTAGATGATGACCCTCTGTAGGTTGTTGTAGTGATCGGGAATATCTGGGTCGGATTTCATGGAGCGCAAGAAGGAGTAAATCGCAGTGGGGACAGACTCCAGAGCAGCAATGCCATTGCCTGTTAATAAAACCAACCACATTCAGTGACAAAACAGGACAGTTACATCCCTTCCCTAATTTAGTTCATGAGCTCATCTTATTGCCAATTTCAAACTCTAATATGGCTGGTTCAAGCCAGGTGAAGTGCGGGTAGACGCTATGCAAGTTTCTTTCCATCCCATGCTCTCCGCTGGTCTCATTCTTGATCAGCACCCCACTACCATTCCAGTCAGGAACATGCACCCAACTATGCCCAGGCACAGTCTAACCTGTAACATCATTGGGTTGCCCGGTGTCCAGAAGGAAGATCTGACTGATGGACTGTCATTAAGATGAGATCTTGGAAAATTCGGCATTATTCTTCTCTTGGAAAGAGAGCCTTTCATCCACCAAGGCTGCCCTCGGGGAGGGAGTCACCACAGAGCGGGTCACACACTCTTTCCACAGGGCTGAACATGCAGTTTTTGCAACACATCCAACCCCCGGCTGGTCTGGCGAGCAAGAGGCAGAAGTCCAGGAAAGCACTAACCACAGGCTCCCTAAGCTGGCCCTGCCCCATGGCTTTTCCTGAATCCCTGTAGGAAGAAAGGTGCTTACCCAACTCAAGCAATACATCTGACTTTGGAACGGTGCTAAGCTCCAAAAATTCCTTGATCTTCTTAAGACGCCTTGAAAATGGTAATTCTTCAAAACCCATCCTGGAGACAAGAGACAGGAATGTAACAAATGCTCTGCTCCAGTGACTTTTCCCTCCCTGCCACCAGGGAGCAATCTGCTTGATTTGATCTAATACAACCCAGCCTATGAAGAGGTGTCCAAACAGAGGGCTCCCAGGGACCCAGACTTTCCGAAAAAAGATACGTTAGTGGCTATAGGAGTGAATCTTCCCACATTTCCAGGTGTTTGAACCATGGCCATGTCTATTGAGACCTCCTGTACACATGCGGAGAACGAGCAAGAACCTCAAAGCAAAGCTGTTCTGAGAGCACGTCAAACTGAAATGAATGAATGAGGGCTTCAGAGGAGGAAAGAAAAGGACCCATCTTACCAGTCTGCAGCAAGTCAACTCTCTTGGAAAGGCCAGATATGGGAGAGGACGAACTGAAGTCTCACAAATTGCTTACGGGACAGGGAGGAGAAGCTAGACCTAACAGCATGCAGCCAGCAGGTTGGACGGCTTTTATGAATCACAACCACACTCTTCCACTCCATAAAGGTACTGGCTTGGACTGAGGGGGAGAGGCAGAGGGAAATGGAACCTGGAGGAATTTCTCACTCCTCACTCCGAGGACATTCACACCAGGACAGACTGGGAGACGTGTTCATGGCAGCGGAGTGTGTGGCAAGAGAGGCTCTGCAGCCCACTTCTAGAGAGAGGCGAGGAGTCTGTATTTTCAAACATGAGTTTCCCAGTCACAGGAAAAGCCATGCAGCTAAAATCAAAACACAGCCTAATGACATGAAGGAAAATCTCACACTTCCCATGCACAGAATAGCATCGAGAGACAGGACAGAGTGCAATCTATGAGGCATTAGGTAGACAGCCGTACAGAGTCAAGAGAAAGACACTGCTGTGAACTAGACCAAATTCCATATGGAGGACACAATGCAACTCTCTGAGCCCTACTTACGCTCGCGCATCAGCCAAAGATTTATCATCTGCCTCCACATCCTCCATGTGGCCGATCAGCTGCTCCAGGAAGCTTTCCCGACTGAGCTCTCCCTGCAGGGCGAGGTGCACTGCCAGCGCCTGCAGGATGGCTCCGTTATAGCCAAGTGAGTTGGCATGTGTCAACTCAGCACTGAGCTTCGCAAACTGTGGATTAAAAAAAAAAATCATTAGGAAACCAGAGTAAAAGAGAATCACCAAACCCCATCCCATCAGCAGAGATCTGGGAGCCCCAGTGCCTGAACAACCTCCCTGTAATGCACCTTCTTCACATCCTGAACCTCAGGGTAAATCAGCGAAACGCCTGCTACCCTCATAGCACCACCGTTGCCGTAGGAGCCTTTCCCATTAAACTGCACTCGGGCTGGCTCAAACACATCACTGCACTTGGGGCTCAGAAGTTTCTTGAACACTTTGACGACTGCCATCCCATAGCCCCGATCTGGCTCCTTCTTGTGCTCCTCAGCAAATCTGCCAAAGGTAAAACAGCAGCAATTACATAGGAATTAGAAAAACCACACTGGAAAGGGACAGTTTCAACTTACATTTGGTCTGCTACTAAAATCTTTTTTTGAAAGATGCTTTTATAAAGCCTTATTATTCTTTGCATCAGAGTAACATCCAGAGACCTCAGCAAGTATCCTGGCCCCACTGCGCTAGGTGCTGTACAGATATGTGCTGTAGAAAGAGAAAAATCCCTGCCCCAAAGACCTGGGTGGATGAGGATAACAGAGGTTGGACCATGTGGTTGTACTGACTATATCTATTTGTGTAAATCACTGGTTTCAGCTCTTGACTTTTTGATGTTTTAAGATATACTTTAAAAACTAATTGGAAACATTTTTACTAGTCACAGGCAGGCAGAAATATTGTTTGTTCAAGTCCAATGGAGACAGTTTTTAAACAATTAAACCTTTGCTTTTCACCATTTGAAACCCAAACGCTTCAGCACCAAGTATCTGAATGGGAAACGGACTATAAAACAAACTGACTTCAAAGATTTTCATTGCCCAAAGCTCAGGGAAGTGTAAAAAGCATACCAAGCAATAAGTAAACTAGAAAGGGAATAATTTTGAAACACTGAAGTGCTTTTAATAACAAAAGTATACAAACTTGTTTGCTTACAACACAAGTTACATTGACAGTGTCCCCCCTGTTTAGTTTCAACATCAGATTTGAGATGCCACTCTAATGACACTGAAGTCAATGAGAATCTAGGATGGCACAAACCCTGCAGGCACAGGCCAAATTGCAGCATTGGGGCCACTGCTCTTTTTAGTCTCTCCACACAAATAGGCGGCCACTTCAGACTGAATTCCTCTGCACTTTCCTGGACTGAACGGGAACAGCTCAAAGTGGCTGCTTAGCTTTCACTCACTATCACTTGCAAAAGCAACACAGTTCTCCCTGTTGTGGTGACTGCAACTCCTTACCTCCTGGCCATATCAACTTGATCAAACTCTCCCTTGGCTAGCAGGGACCGCACCACACACCTGGCCATGGCTGTGTCATCTGTGTAGCAGAGCGTTTCTGAAAGGGAAGGCAAAAATACCAGATGATCATCCAAACACCAAGAGGTCCTATTGCTCCTCTAGAATCCCAATCCTATTTCTCTACTGCTAGGAGAATTCTCTGTGAATCTGGAGTATAAAAGCCTTGGCTGTATTTCCAGACACTCCGCTCTCTTAGCAGGCCTTGGGAGAGATTAAAAATTGTCACTGACTGCAGAGGCGCAACTACAGCGGTGGAGGAACACGCCTTCACTAGTAATACATTAGGTGGCAGTACGGTGACCAGATGTCCCGATTTTATAGGGACAGTCCTGATTTTTGGGTCTTTTTCTTACGTAGGCTCCTATCCCCCCCCACCCCCTGTCCCAATTTTTCACATTTGCTGTCTGGTCACCCTAGGTGGCGGTGTCAGTAAGAGAAACAAGACCAGTGATCTGGGATTAATGTGACAGAAACACAGTCAACGTGGAATCTAATTATTTCAAAAGAATGAATTCAAAGTGGTTCCAGGTACCAGTCCTGCACCAACTGGGGGCAGTTTTCAAGTGACAGCTGCTTTTTCTAAAAAAAATTCTCTCCCCCACACACGCCTCCTGCATGAAAGCGACTAACCTCGGGCAGTTTGGACTGGGTGGTTCACACCCCCAGGGCAGAACAGAGTGTGCGGGGGGGGGGGGGCAGGGGCCCGGGGGGGGGGGGCAGGGCAGGGTGCGTGAACCCCACCCCGGCCCCCACCTTTGCCATCCGCCTCCTCGCCGCTGCCCCCGGCCGGGCCCGGCGGCTCCAGGCCGCGGAGGAAGCGCAGCAGCTCGGGCAGCGCCACCACCTCCCTGCCCTCGAAGGTGGCGCCCAGGCAGTCCCCGAGCAGCGCCCCGGCCAGGCAGCCCCGGAACCGGCCCCGGGCCGGCGGGAGCCGCGCAGGGACCCGGCCCAGCGCCCCGCCCGCCAGCGCCGCCGCCATCTTCTTCCGGCCGAGGGCAGGGGGGCGGGGACTGGTAACCGGGGGCGGGGCCCCCGGAGGGGGGAGGGGCTAGGATCTGGGAGAAATGGGGGCGGAGCTAGTGCCTGGGGGTGTGGGGGCAGGGCCCC